TTCACCAATTACTCCAACTTGAAAAACATATCAGGACGCGGAACCATAGCAGACTAGAAAAATTATCACTATCACTGTTGTATGGAAGGTCAAATCACCACTCTACCAAAAAGGAAGCAATCCTAATCGTAATCTCTGCGCGATCGAACATATCAGGATGCTCAGCCTACTGTGCCTCTTTCATTTCTTCAGTTCAAAATCACAAACGCATCTAAACTCATATCAAACCTATTTAAGGGTCCGCGAGGGTTAGATAAAGTGCAATTCGGTTATTGATTATCCCAAAGAAAGCCTTACCAAGCATTAAAAGTCCAAAGTAATGGAACAGGGCCTGATATGATATGATTCTGAGCTCACAAAGTAAAGACAACGCCTTTATACTTCATTTCCCATACAACTAAGGCAAGATTTAAAAAGTAAGTTAAAGTCTGCTTGCATGTGAAGTGATCTGGGATTTGTAGGCACTACAAGAAAAGAGGGCATTCAGGCAGTAGCGCATTTTAAACTGCGTCAAGCATCTTCTCCTTTTGTTATAATACACGTCTACGCCTAGGGTGATGGTGGAGACTCCAAGGTGCGTGAGCAGACCCCATCTTCTCCGGGGTTCCCGCCCCTCCCAAGCATAGGTGGAGATGCCGCCCGATCTTGCGATAGCGCCCATTTTTGGGTATTTCATCCTCAGCTATAATTTTTAGCTAACTGTAGTCAGTGTCAACCGTCAGTTGGGTTCTGCCGAAAAAATGGAGTCGTATTTTGAAGTACAGACCGGATGGGGAAACAGTATTAGCAGACTACGACCTCATCGCCACGCTCACCCCTCCACATACCCTACTCCATTTACTGCAACATCCTTAGTAACGAAGACTTACTATTTTATTTCTCATCTGGAAAACCACGCCAGTATTCAGATATGGGACCAAATGCTCACTTTTCCAATTTCTGGACACTATATTCATTCGAAAACACTCCATTTTTTAGTACGTGCAAAATTGGAGGGCTCAATTTTACAGCCCACGTCTCTAGTCTCGAGGTAGTGAGTGGAGTTGCATGTTGTCATGTCACTGGACATGAAGTGGTGGTCGCCGCACTTGACAGAAGTCCGTAGATAAGCTGTTTCCAGCATGTGTTATTGATTCTCAGCAGAGTATGTTGGAAACAGCTTATCTGTGCGACTTCTATCAAGTGCGGCTGCCGCCACATCATTTCCGATGACACGCCTACTCTGACGGCGGGATATGGACTATTCTGTGGCACGAAAGCATTGCGAATAATGATTTCTACCCTCGCCTTCAAATAACCAGAAATTGTGCAATTGCAGAAATTGACGTGGCATTAACGGGCATGTGCCACGTGACTAAATTCTCGATGAAAAGGTGACGTCACGTGTGCTCAAAGATGTTCT